AAATAAAGAAAAAAAATAAACATAAAAAAACAAAAATTAAAAACAGATTTACACTTCATATCACAAGCCTGACGCAGGTCCTTCACTCTGGACCAAATAGCTAACATACAATTCACTTCTCTCAACGCTGAACAGACGTTGGGCTTCAGTTTCAAACACAACCTTACGGTAACAGATATACCATAGCATGTGCAAACTGGGTACCAAACTAAAACTTCCAAAGATGGGGTTGTTCCTAATACTTGATCCGGGGGGATACAAGTATGCTTTTTTTGGAAGACAAGGAATTTCCACTTTTTGCATCACATTTAGTGTCAAATTAAACTAAGAGATATCTCCGACAAATTGAAATTAAAAAGCTGCGGCAGAACATCAAAGACATTTAAGAGCCTACTATTCACTGTGATAGTAGTGTTTTAATTTATACTCATGAAAAAAAACTAAGACTTACCAACTGCAAGGCAAAAAGAAGAGAGAGGGGAGAGGAAAGATAGAAGGAGAGTAGAGGTGTTGGTGAATGGTTCTGGACGCATTTTCACCATCAAGGTGAAGAGGCGCAAGAATGAAATATACTGGAAAAACAAAAAAGAAGCACTGAGTCATCCTCAGTAAAGTTACCACCTTTCAATGGAAATGTCACAGAGTAAAATGATGATAAAAGACCCATGATTAAGACAACTTTGCATTTCCCCTCCTAAAACACAGCGAAGTGTTCAACTGTTTTCACTTAAGTGCAAATTGAAATAAATGAGAGGCAAGGAATGGAGTGAAATCAGGAAGCAGTTTCACCACCCTGAAAAACTAAAACCTGCTCTGTGGGAGTCGTTTTCCATTCAACTATCCCAAATGCTCTGTGGGTCTGCCTCTCTACAGAGCCAGCACATTAAAACAGTGTTAGTTTTTAAAGAGCATTGGTCCACAGCTCATTAAAGAAAAGATTTCTCTCATTAACCTAAAATAAATCAACTCCACCTAGAAGAACAACAAATAAAACCTTATTTGGTGTCTTGTCTGAAATGGTTTTTCTGAAATTGAAAAAAAGAAAAAAAGAAAGACATTTAATCTGGAAAAGAACCCCCCCCCAAAATAATCTCAGTGCTGAAAATGTGACCCCCGATTGTGATTCTAAAATGTAAAGGACGCTGATAAATGATTAATTTATCATGCTGGCTCAAATGCCACTTCTAGAGTTTGTCACTAGTGACATCTAGTGTTTAAAAAGGCTCAGTGGAATATCACAAATGCCAAAATAGAGTAGATCATCACACTATTAATAACACCAATTTAATGGCCATCATATAATTCAGCATTACTGCTATTCAGACAGGGGTGGTGAGGGTAGCAAAGGTCGGATTGTAAGCACACAAAAGCCAGAAACATGAAGGTGTGAGAGCAGAAGGTTAAAGGAGAGGGAGAGTGGAGAAGGGAGGAAGCAGAACATACGACCTAACATCATTTTGCATCCCTGAATGTAGCAAAATTAGATGAATGTTTGAAGGGATGCAAAATGGCCTTTGAAGGGAGTTGTGACACAAAGTGAAAACAGGATAAACAGAGGAATCAGGAAGAAAGATAAAAGTGAGACAGACAATATGCATTAACACCATAGTGAGAAACAGGACAGCAGTAGGAAAACACAGATTCACAGGAAGCTAGACATAACAAAGACTCAGAATTCACCATTTACTTAGGAGAAGAAACTAATATTTACTGAACAACAGTTGGTGAAATATGGCACAGAACAAAGGGCATGGAGGCTGAGGGTTTTCAAGACATCATTCGATATATCTTTGCACCCACAGAACAGAAATGGACAGCGAATATGGCCTCCAAGAGCATCGTGGTAACCTCTCTCTTTCAGCCAGAATAATGCTATCCATTGGAGCTCTGTCATTCATCCTCTACTTCCTCAAGGTCTGTCAATTCAGGCAATAATAAGAAAAAAATTTAAAAAAAAAATGTGGGAATTTGGTGACGGGAATTTCCACAAGTCCTAACTTTATTTACAGACCTTGTGTTAACTTCTCCCCCCTCAGCAACAGATGTAGAGGACAGAGATGCAGAAGAGGAGGTCAAAAAAAAAAATATTAAAAGCACAAACAGTAGCTGCCACACTGATGCAACCATGCTTAGCTAGAAATACATTACTGTACCACTTGCTGTATAAATATACTGCATTTTTTTAAACTTAGAGATCCAATGCTATAGTGAAATACACCTGAATATTATGCATACCCATTATGCTTAATTGACCAGAGGGAAAGAAGAAAGAAAAACAAAACAAAACAAAAAAACCCATAAGATTTAATTGAGAAATACTGACAGAAGTAGTGGTTGGTTAAATAAATCCTAATAACGAGTAACATCACTGCTGTCGCAAGAAAATCTAGTTTCTGTATTTTTTCAGATCCTTACGTGGTGGGAACAATTTTATGACCCTCATGCCAATAACATCCACTTGATATCTTCTAAAATACAGGGGTCATTTTAAAAATAAGGCTCAAATATATACGGTTTTCATCCGACAGCGGCATTATGCAATATTTTCTTGAGAATTAACCTACTAGTGTACAAACATCTGGACTAAGAATACCTCAAACACTCGACCTTATTGTTTTATTTTTAATTACAATATAAATTGCTTCTTCCTCCCTCTTGCACTACAAAGCCTAGGTACCTGTTACTTAGCATTAAATTGTAGTCATCAAGTTCTTATGTTGTGCAATATTTCCTCACAAAATTACTCAATACCCCAATTTTTTTTTGATATGTTCTACTCTTCTTAGCAGTAACTGTAATAATTATTGAATGTAGGCTGCTTACAGAGCCTGTGATCCATATTTAGAGATTACAACAATAAGCATTTTTTTTTATTTTTTTTTTTAAATCAATTCAAAACGCTGATAAAATAATTACTGTATGTTAACAGTTGGAGGCATTCCCTCTTGTTTTATTGCAATATCAAATCACTTCAACTACATACCCGCGCAGTAAATGCTTTTCATTACACCCAACCGGTACTCTACAGATCATGAAGTTGTGATTTGAGTCTTTTTTTTTTTTTGTAAATCCTGAAAAATGCCACGGGCCTTACCCTAAATATTAAACCCCACCACCACAACCACCACCCCACACCCCCATTTTTTTTTTCCAGCCAAGGACCAATAAACAAAGACTCAGTGATTAAGATGAATCATACTGCGGATGTAAATACCTTTGCATGTAGAAGCATAATGCAAAGAAGCAACAGTATATGCTCCATGGCTCACTGGCTAAAATATTATCATTACCAAATTACTTTTTGACTTTTATTAAAATAAAAGTTCAGGCTGGATTTTTGAAAATGGAGAACGTCGAAATGCAGTTAGTAAAAGCAAATGTGTAAAATCTCTGACTCTTGCAGAAAGCACAGTAAACAAATGGATGATTCCTCTCTCATAATACTGCTGAGAAGTCTAAAAGCCTCTTACTGGCCCTTGGAGATGGTGCTGCTCGTTTCCTCTCCACCAAAAGAACTGAACTAGTTTAAAACCTAGTAGCTGAGAGACACTGTCATCACAGCTCTGCACTCCTGCCATGAGCACAAAAAAACATTTTTTTTTTACTTTGGGTCTGTTTTTACTCTTGCAAACTCACAAGGGATTACCAATTAAGTTAAAATTTTGACCTAAATTCTGACAATTACAAGCTGTTATTATGACATGGACCAGTCGCATACACATTACAACCTTCTGACTAGACACATTTCCTTCCTAAATGTGGTGCACAAGCATCCGCATCATTTGTTTGGTCTTTTCATCACTCACAGCACTGAGAAATTGACCATGGGACTGAATCCATCTATCAGCACATCTATTTGACGGGTCCATTATTAACTGTATACTCAAGAGTCTGGGTTTTTCTTTGTGGAGTGTTTGGTTATTAGTCCTGGTCTGGAAGAAGGAACGAGGAGGAGACGATATAATAACAGAGAGAAATCAATGTACAACACATATAGTGCAGAAATAGCAGAGTATGAGTGCAGTTTCTTGCAGGTAAGATCTCAAACTCAAATGTCTTGTACCTTGAAATGAAATGAACGTCTGCGAATATGTCATCTCCTCCCCCTTCCTTCTGCTCTCCCCGTCTCGTCCTGCTCTCCTCGCCTAGTGCCAACACAATCCCTTTAAACTCCTTCTCTGCTGGCTGTGTCTGCCATGCACACCCCTAGAAATCCATGTGTGTGTTTGCTAGTGTGTATGTGTGTTGATCAGTTAAAAACAGAACTGGGAGTTACTGTACAGTAAGTGCCACTAAGTGATTATGTGTTTTCCAACACATCACAGGAGCGTGTGTGTGTGTGTGTGTGTGTGTGTGTGTGTGTGTGTGTGTGTGTGTGTGAGAGAGAGTGCACACGAATGTGTGCGCTTGTGTGTACATGTGAGAAAGTGTGCACGACCACCCATGCTGTTGAAACGGTTAGTATAAATATTTTTACATTTTCTTTATGTATTGACCTACGCTAAACACATAAAAAAAAAGCTGACAGGACCTGAATGACCCCGAAATGTTCTCTAGCTAGGTTAAGATTTCAATAGTGTCACAACATACTAGCCTGCATAGTATGTAGCATGAAGAAGGTGATCTTTTCTTAAGTGTGTACTATTTTTATGCTAATGTGGACAGGGCGGCACACGCAGCATGATGGGTGATGGTCGGTAAGTGCTCTGCTCATAGCGACACAGCAACTTACATGGAGACGAAACGACAGGGATGACTGACAGACTACTGCCGGACAGACATCTACGTGCTGGAAGACGACTGAGATTAAACTCAAAATGAAACAAAAGGAGATTAAAACATAAAAAGGATGAAGAGGAAGGAAAAACATAGGAAGAAAAAAAAAAAGTCTACTGGAAAAGGTTAAGTAATTCAGCTGAGTGTGGTAATAAAGATTATTAAAAAATTAAATAACCCAAAAAAAAAAAAACCAAAAAAAAAAACATCCTAATTATGTTAAAACCTTGTGCTGATATCTAGTCGTTAGAAAATTTGGCAGCATAAGTCAGTAAGTCTTTGTAGTGAATGATGGAGATGATAATGAGGAATAAGTGCCCAATATTTTCCAGCCAACTGAGCAGCAGCAGGCAGGAGCACACACACCAGCACAACACAGAAACAGGAGCGACCGACACCCGTGATTGGTCAAGAGTCCTTCTGGAGTTCCAATGACAGACACAGCAAAAGAAATTGAGAAAATAAAATAAAAACCATACAAAATAAAGTAATGACTGGTTGGCAAATGAAGAGAGAAAAAATAAAAAATAAAAGCAGCTTTTGTAAAAACGTTAGAGAATGTCGCATAATAACAATAACAATAATAGTAAAGTGGCTGTTGCACTTTAGTTTTGTTCTTGCAGACAGGTGCCGAGTTCCCATGGTTACCAGTGGGAGCCCGTGTAAGATTTGAGCAGTTGCATACGATGGTGGACTCCAGATCTGGTGGGGAAAAAAAGAGCAGACGTATACATTAGCGATTGATTTAAAGACTGCATCAGACCATCAGAAAGAACTGTGAGGCAGCACAGTTTGTTCCAGTCAGACAGACACAAACAGAGGAACAAAAGGAGGAGAGGAGGAGGGGGGAAGAAGGAGGAAGCAGATGGAGGAGAGAAAATTGCAGGAGCAAGGAGCATCTCAAAGAGTGGGGGCAGGAGGGCAGACACTCACATGATGGGTGGGCTCTACCAGTGAGGTGGTACATAGCTGTACCCAGGTGTCCCTTGGGGCCTGTAGGTTGGCACAGTAACTGGGTGTGCTCCAATCGGGGGATGCTGGGGCGTTGTCAGCAGGGTCCCTACAGGAAGTTCACAACACCATTAATGAGCTTTACCCATTTATGAATCTTCATCTGATAAACAGCTATGAGGGCTTGTTACTATAGTTGTGGGTTATTGCACACACAGACTTGCATGCTATGTCAGCATGCATTACATTTCTTTTTTATTAACTCCAGCATGGTTTATTTTTTCCCTGGTTTCAAGCATTTAGGAGCTGTGGCATTTACTTCAGCCCTAAATAAAATAAACCACTTAACTACCCACCTTGTACACATAAAAGTAATCCGGAAGGAAGCTGATGAGATGGCTGAATAAATGTAATAAATCATTTTCTACTAGAGCTGTAACTAAATTAGCTGACAAATAGCAAAAACTGCCCATCATGAATAAACTGGAATCCAAGATTTTTTAATAATTTCAGCTCTAATTTATCTTGTGTAGTTTTATGATCTTCTGACCAGACCCTGCCAAGCACACAAGGTCTATGACATATGCAAGTCTCACCAAAACACTTACACCCACATTCAATGAGTAAACATGTCTGTGCAAGTGCAAGAAACCATCTTCAGCATGAATAAATGACTTACACTCAAATTTCTTGTAAGTCAGCATGTCGATGCCTTAATCCAGCATGTCATGTATGACAACTGAAATAAGCAAATAACTAAAGTCCTTGGTTCTGGCCCTACCTGCACTCATAGCCATGGTTGTCCCAGCTACCATTCCCATGGCAGCCATGCCGTTGTTGCGAGGAGCAGGTACAGGGACGGGGGCAGGGTACAGGGCTGTGGAGGGGATGCTGTTGGGCTGCACCACGGTGGTGTGATGGATCACATGTGGCTGAGCCGCATACACTGGCTGGGTATAGTACGCTCCCTGTCAGGATGAACACCGGAAAGGGTTGGTGAAGCTGAGGGTGTGTGTGCTTGTGTATGATGTATAAAGCTTATTAAGAAATTTCAATGTTTATTTTATTTAAAGAAATCTCAAGGTTATCGTCCACAGCAGGAACAAGAGAAGTAGACTGAAAACATACACACCACCTTGGAGATGGGCATGTTGCCTTTCTAACATTTTCTATCCCTCTCACCTCTCCACTTCTTATCAAATGCCCATTTAACCATTACAAAGCAGTACAGCACCAAATTATTAAAGAACAAAATGATGGCTCTGTTGTTGTGTGTAACTGCATCCTAAAGAAAAATGCAGCATTTTAATCCGTTGTCAATCTAAATTTGCCTAGTCTTCTGGGTTCTTCGGGGGAAGTGTAAACATGATATGTTAAAGCTAACTTTCAGCTATTGATACAGCTTGTGTGTTTAATTTCTGAAGCTTATTGACAATGTTAACCAAACTGATTCTTTGGTATAAATCATATGTACATTGCAAACAACATAAAACCGACCCCCCTACATTCTAAGAATTCTTCATTCTTGATTGAACTAAAGCACTAACATTTAATAATATCTGAACATGAGACAAAACTGATAGTACCTTTGTTTTTGAATCTGACTAATCTCTGATTCCTCAAGAGGGAATTCTCTTTTTAGTCACCACCCTTTATATAACATTGTGCTAGGTCTGTATCAAAGCTATGTTCTTGCAGCAAGTAGGAATGAAATGTCATTTAAACAATAAATTCTGCAGAACAGAAGATATCTGACACAAAGTCGATGTTAAATTTTTGTTAAAAGCTGAAAATCAAAACACTTCTTCTGGTGAAACTACAGAACAAGTGCAACATGATGAACCTGATCAACTTTTTCAGTAGCAGAGTAACACAAGTCTCAGTATCCTTACCTGTGCGTATATGTTCTGCTGAGGGTAGGCACTGCGGATGGGGTACATAGCTGTCGGGTATGGGGTGGGGGTTGGGGTGTAGGGAGGGGGTGCTCCATTTGACTGAGTGGGTGGCACTTTGTATGGGGTGCCTGCTTGAGTATATCCTAAACAGAGTCAAGAGAAAATAAAAGGGGAGAAAGGAAAGGGGCAAGAAAAAAATTAGACCAGAGAAAACTACTATTAATTGATTGGGATTTTGTTAGTTTTTTAAATCTGCAATAACTGACTTTTTTGGCCACATGGGGACAGTGAAACAAGCTGTAAAAACATTGCTGACATATTATTTGTATCACATATATTAAATTATTTTAATGACACATCCAACAAAATATTTACCTCTTTAGTTGCTAAATGCTCCAGGTATTGCACAAGGTTTGTTGAGTTTTTTTCACTGAAAACAACTTCCTAATGTGTTATCACAGTGGTGAGAGGGAACTAAAATGTTGAAGCAGAACCAAAACAGTGAACTTTAAGACAATGAAACACTATTGTCTTTAGATACAGCTAGGTGAATGGAGGATGTGAGCCTACAATACTGTGTGTTTTACAAATCTTTCCACTCTTCTATCAATGAACTGTAAACATCATAAAGGTTGGGTTAAAATATCCACATGTAAACAGATTATTTCAACTTTCAACTGTCTATTTTGTCACTTGCATTTCCTACACAATCCACCAGATGGGGGACTGGTGCTGCCTTTAGATGGAAGTCTCAAAACAATACAGCTAAGGGGTTTGTGAGTCTTAAAATGCCTCATTTAGCTGGTCTTGAAAAGGAGCTTTGGAAAAAAAGCATATTTGATTTGTACAAGTAGTCAGTGTAAATAGAGTACATATATTTTTATAGACTGTATACAATAAAGAAGCCAACCAACCTATGAGGCACAGAAAGATACCTGTCAAACATGATCAAAGTGTAGTCATCATTTAACTGCCACTACATCAAAAAGGTTGAAAGTATGAGGTCTACTGTCATACAGGGAAAGCATCTGGCTCACACTCACTGCATTCATGTCTGCTGTTAACTGGGCTCTCTGCTCTCTGGAGTGCAGTACCTCTGAACGGCCACCTGGAGGAGCCTGAAGGTCAAACATGCTACTAGCTAGCTGCTGCTGCAGAGCTTATGAAAGCGCTTCTCTCACACAAGGACAAGGGAACAAAGAGATGCTGGAGCTGCTCTGTGTGTGTCTAAAAGTGTGTGTGTGTGTGTGTGTGTGTGTGTGTGTGTGTGTGTGTGTGTGTGTGTGAGTGAGTGTGCATACTCTCACACACATTCTTTGCTCTAACATGCATGCATGGCATTAGAGGACAATGGAGTGTGACAATTACACAAAAGCCCTGCTGATAGAAAACAGTTTGTCTATTCAATGGTCTTGAGACATAATGACATTGACCAAGACACGTTTCTAATCAGACCATAGCCGGCTTGTCTGGAAAACCTAAACATTTTAATTTCATCATACATTAAGCACTGCAGAACGCACAGAATGAAATTTGCAGTCAAACAACAACAGCCTCAATAATGAGGTTCTGGTCTTCTGCTGGAACAAAGCTGTGCGAGCTTTGCCAGAGCATACCTGATATTTTGTTAGATTTCCAAAAGATAAAACCAAACTGGGGGAGGGGATGAGAGGAGAGGGGCTTCAAAAGCAGCACAGATGAAATCTACAAACCCATCCTGCCTTGTTAAGATACTTAAAATTCAGGAGAATAGCGAACAATTCAAGTAAGGACTTGCCCTCCTCTTCAGAAAATGTAATCTTTTATCTATTTATAGTAATTGATACTTTCCAAGTGTGTTGTTATTTAGGTGATAGTCTACTTAATGCTTTCCAAGAAAAACATTCTTAATACATTGAGACATCCACTCATACTCTACCAGAGCTTCAAAGGACTTTGTTTTCTTTATTCTTGTTATTGAAACGTAAAGTCCCCACTCCCTAAAATCATTGTTAAAAAGCCATGATTTTCAATACATGGCCTCAACCCAATTTAATAAAATCATCTTGTTGACAGAACAAAATAAAATTACTACTTAAATATTGATTGCTTAGTTTCAAGCTCCTCATATTAACTTATTCTTTATTGTGTGTTTGTTGTTTTGTGTCTTGCGTACGTTCCATCCTCCCTCACATACATTTTCTGTAGATTTTTATTGTACTGCAAATGATTACAAGATTCTCCACTGATATTTGCAATGTACTGGAAAACAATTATTTTATATACCTGTCTCAAGCATATCTGTAGAGAAAAATTAAATCAAAATAATCAAACCGTCTCATTCTGATGTGTCTGAATATCCCCAAATAACAGCGTTCGTGTCACAAGACAATGAGCCTGAGTGAGACCGTACTGGACTCAGTCTGGGTTTCCAGGCTGGAAAGTTTAAGACCCCGTCACACTAAACTATATCTATACAGAAACACCATATCTGGAAAGCACAGAGACAACTGTTATTCCCCATCTGCTGTGGGGACAAAGCACTGGACCCCAGCAGAGTATGTATCTGCTGCTATATGGCCGCCGGCAGCTGTTACTGGCTAGCTTCCCATTAATTCACCATCAGCGCCCTTTAGGCTGAGATCACCTCTTAATCCATACTGCCTTCACATTAGTGCAACCTATGCAGTAAGCAGATTGCATTAGTGATTATTACTTAAATTTTACCAACATCATTTGATTTACAACAAAATGTTAACTACACATGGCTCAAACAATTATCCAATATGTAGGAAAACAATATTTGCTTTAGTTTAAGTATGCATAGTAAACATACATTCAATACAGCAACATAGAGCAGCAGCAGTAATGGATCCTCTGACTTGAAATAAAATTTCCATCAGTGTGCAATTTATTCAGCACATCGTGCATTGCTCCAACCTTAACCTAAACAGTGACTAACTTTCATTTCACACCAACACATTACTCAGCTGCTTTTCAGAGTGAGAACTGGTATTCACTGGTTACTCATCAGTGGGATTAAAATATTTCTGAAAATTACTCAAGAGAAATTGGTGGCACAGTTACAGGTTGGTTGTGAGGTTGTTTAGTTTATAGTTACTTAAAAACATTCTGCCTACTGTTTTTTTATTAATATTATTTCAGCAGACTTAACATTCAAATTTGCAAAACTAGAACAGTCATCATTTTCAAGAACTTCAAATGCCAAACTTCAAATTTCTTATTAGGGTCCCTGAATCTGAAATCCAATTAGAAAGAAAAAACTGTAAATAAACTGCTCAATGCGCGACAGTGTTTTGAATTTATTTTACAACATTGCAGAGTCAGGTTTTCACAGATGATGGTTGCATTATTGTTGTCTATAGTTATTTTGCCCCTGAAATGTGAAGTTTACTTCTCAATGGGAGCCACACAATAATGTTCTTGGTTTTTAGTCTCTGTTTGCATTTTTTTTCTCTGTATGATTCTTTCCATATATATTACCCCATGATTAAGAGCTATATTTTTACATTTTTTTTATTTTTGCGCTCTGCAAATAAACAAACAAACAATGGGCAACACATATCTTTGTAGTTTAATAGCCTGTAAATAATAAAAATGTGTGTGACATCCTTTAAATCACACTTCAAAAGGATCCACAACACTCTTTTTACACTTGATGGTTTGTTTATTTCTGATTTTCGTTCCTTAGGAGAAAAAAAAAAGAAACATCCCACTAATTAACTCCAAACAAGTTGGGCTGAAATGACAGCATGTCTCCCTAGATATTACCTTTTAAAATATAAACAAAGTCATCAAATGGTCTGTGTGTGTCTGTGTTTGCGTTTTACAGCTCACCTGGTGGATACCCAGGACTGCCTGTTTGATAGAGGTTGGGTGTATAGGTGGGGGCGGTGGCAGGATACCCTCCTGGATAGCCTGACATCACAGAGGGGGGAATAAAATATTAGAAACTAGTTTAACAAAGCCCCACAGATACAGACAAGAAAGATACCCCCATACACACTCACAGGTAGAGCAATATTTGGTTCAGAGCAGGATGTGCACAGATGGCACTCATTAAAAAACATGTCTGCACCAATAACATAGTCGGTTGAATGCCTCTTACATACACCAATCTGGCAGACGGGGCACACCTGCCAATATGGTGAGGGTGGAGATAAATTCAGAAACATTAGCAACGCACACAGACACGTGCAAGGGGGTTGCATGCACGCACCACATATACTGCTGTGCGTCATCAATTACATGTCAAGCAAACAAAGCAGATTTTGACCTGAAAAAAAGCTTTCACTGATAAAGAGGTGCGAGTCCGACAGACCGAGATAAAGAGGGAGGAAGGGAGGAGAGAGGCAAGAGGGTTAAGACAACGAATGTACATGAGCGAAGTGCTGTTCACCGCTCGCTATTATTGGCAGTGAGTCTCTCAGACTATCTGTTCTGTAGCCTTGAGCCTTTGCTATATCTAGCTTTGGCTGCTGTCTGCTGGAGCTACAGTCAGATGTAACAGGTCTAATAAATATCTGCATCAATCTATGCTGCTGCAGAGTTAAGGTTGTTCGTGTTTTTCTACACATTTAGGACTCAATTCAGTTTTAATTTAATGTGATTTTAATGTAGGCAGTGGCTTTGAACAAATGTCTGGTTATTTGTTGAATTCATCACATGCAATAATCCAGATGCTTGCATTACATGATACAGTAACACACTCTTGTTATTACACCTCTATAAAACACTATAAACTATAATAGTCATAATAAGCAAATCACCAAATTTTTTTTCTTTACCTCACAAATAAACTGTTAGTTGTCATTGTTAACTGATTTACACACTTAAGACAAGGCCAAGTTGTGTATGTTTTAAATATCTTTTAACATCCAACAATATTTTTTTTTACAATTATCTCATCAGCTGACCTGAGCAACATTTAACATCTCTGAACTTGACCCACCGTGTTGCATGGTTGGTGAGTCTTTGGCAGCATTTAATACATGAACTCGGGCTGACAGTTGACCATGTGTAATTGCTGCCTGCCAACTCAAGGATTTGGAAATAATCTGATGGAAAACAGTGTGTTATTTTATATAGTTCTATTGTTTTCACTTTTCTGCTTGAATGTTTGAAACGTAGGCCGCCAGAGCCATTAAAAAGTATAAAAAGAATGAGCATAAGAATGGAGAGAGTCTATCACTCCCAGAACAACTTAGGTATTGGTTATTCTGAAGGTGATTTTGTTAATGAAACTATCACCAAATTTTTTAAGATCCATGTTAAAATTACCAACCATTATGTTTCATTATTGCCCCGTTACACTAGTCCTGGTGATGCCGGCTCACAGTCTGCAGTTTAGAGGTACCGAGAATCATTTTCCTATATTCAACAGTTAGTTTTGCATTGATGCAAATCAACATTTATGGAGCATTTTTATTGTTTAAATGTGTGTGTGTTGAGTATTTCACACCACATGACACATATGAAGACTTTTTACTGACATTCATTCCTCAAAAACTTGCTGCTCCTCAGACTTTGTCACGTCGAGCTGCTATCTTTCATGCAGACATAAACTAAACACACAAGAAAGAACATTCTACTGCACCAAGTCTCCTTTTTTAAATTCATGTGCCAACTTTTTAATCTAAATATTCGTCATTGTTGGAGTCACCTTTGGCCTACAGTTCAAATTCTGCACTCTTTTGTAAAAATAAAAAAACAAAAACAACATATTCAAAGAAAGAGAGAGGGGGGCACTGAGTGTGAAGAGTGAGGAACATATTAACAAAAGCACAGAGTAGCTGCTTAAATGATATCATGGAGCAGTCCAATTATCCCAGCCGCATGGTTCTGCATCAGGTTAAAAAGATGCCAGAGGAGACAAAATAAACCATCTTTTGTGGCATATTACAGTATTGCGTAACAAATCTAACCAACTTATTTGGATGTCAAAATGTCAAGCAGCTGCAGAAAATGCACACAAGAGGGTTTGTTTCTCTAGCTTTGTAGAGGATGTTTTTACTTAGATGTCAGCACATCACGATGAACATAACCTTAATAACCAAGCTGTTGTTCTTCCCTGTCAAATCTTGTCCTCTGCAAACAGCTGATGTTCAAGGCCCAAAATGACCCAGAGTAGAGTTCTGTAATCTGCCATGTGAAACCATTCCTCACTAGAGATTGACCAGCTCTTTGTACAACATCTTGTACCCTGTGTTGTTCCCGCTTCTTCAACTTGTAACCTCAGTCAACACTTTGTGACTAATATCTTGTACCTTCCTTTCTCTTTATCCAAAACCCTCTATTCTGCAACAACTGCCACTTTTACTGAAAATGCCAGAAAGGCTCATTTTTTTCTGCATTGCTAAAACATTTATTCACTAGTTTCTATTGTATCACTTTTCTATCATACATTTCTATCATATATTGAGATTTTGGTGACCTATTTTTTTAAACCGTCTCCACTCTTGCAGCAAACCCATATTGTTTTAGTCAAGAATGTGAAACCAGAATCTGAAACAGACTCTGTTGACTGTGGAAAATCATGTATAGGTCTAGGTTCTCAGCATAATTCTGGGTAGACTGGCATCATTCTTGTCCAAATTTAGCAAACGAGATACAAAATGTCTTGGTAGTAAGTCTTGAAAGTAATAATGTATCAAACACCTATTTTGCCAGTAGTGATGATGAGTATGTTGGTGCAACACAGCTAACCTGTTCTTCTGTTAGTGTTAGCATTGTAACTGGTTTCTAAAAGGTACACTGTGAAGCTTGAGTTAGGTTTAACTTCACCTCAAGTTATTAGATCAAGAAAAAAAAGATCAGCAGAGCTCACTCATTCAACATGTAGAAACTGAGAGGGAACAAATGAGGAGAATCTACAGCATGAGAGACCTGTTAGTCAAAGCTAACACATGCTCCTAACTCTTTTGACCTTGATATTTTCCTACTGGAACAACAATTTTCTCCTTAAGTGTGAGAATGTGAAATTAGGTTTCTCACTGACTTCAACACAATTCTTAACAATTTTCATTCTTGTAAGAGCAACGAGAGGCCATTAGCAGAACCATCTTTTAGGCATTTCTTCATTGGCTCAAAACTCAGTAATGTTTCGCAACAGCAGCCAGCATTAAAAAAAAAATTTAAGAGTCGCATAGAGGATAATAAATGTGTATGTGCCCATTAGTTTTACCTGTAAAAGCCATGTTCTTGGGGTTTCCATATGGGGTGCCAGGCTGCACAGGGCTGTAGACTGGATTCATAGCTGAAGATAACCTGTTCTTACTGAAAGAAAAATAGAAAGTGTGACAGAGAGGGGAGGGGTGTAAGAGGAGACAGAAGAAAAATAGAGGGGAGAGAGACGTAAGCCATGTAAATTGGAAAGAAAATTGTTACGATTATCAAGCATATGCACACACTCATCACACACATTAATCCCAAACTCAGATTCTTAAGGCGACATCCAGCTGAAGGATTTTGCCAGCATGCAACAAAAATCCAGCCTCATGAATCCTCACCCTCAAGTAGGCTCAACATAAGCATGTATTTAAAAACAGACACTGTTGGAATAAAAAAGGCACAAGTACTGACAGAAAAGCACAAGAACGCATGGATCCACTGAAAATAATGGTTTGCTTTCCTGTGTGGCATTAAATACAGCTAGCCAAATGTTGCACATCTGTCTTATTTTTACTACTGCACCAAAAAAAGGCAGGGCGAGCTCTATCGGCCTGGTTTCCACTGCAGGACTGAACAGAGGAGTGGCCACTATAAATGTAAGGTGGTAGAAATGGTTGAATTGAAGATGCCTAATAACAGAGCCATTACACTACATCTCCCATAAGGCATCTTTCACCACCGGCCTCACAATGTGGATGAAAGGACATCAAGTGCTCCTCTTTTCTCAACTTACCTGATCAGTGAGAATATGGGCATGGGAAACTGTATATTTGTGTGTGAGTGTGTGTGCATGCGTGCCCCGTACCTCTTGTGCGTGTCTGGTTGATACATGAAACTGAATTTGTCTGTGGGATGCCCGCTCGCCATTCTTGCTGTATGCAAATGAGGAAGAAGTGGAAGTGGATATGCAAATCTGAAATTAAAACAGCGAGAGGTCATGATTACAACGAACACAGGAAAAAGGAAAAAAATAAATTGAAAATTAAAAGAAGAAAAAAAACAAAAAAAACAGCAAAAAAGCAAGCACCAGTGCAACAGCAAATGGTTAGTGATAGCAGCAGGCAGACAGTGATTAGGACAGCATGTCTGAGTGAGTGGTTGTGGTAACTGCTGTGTCTTTAGTCATCAATAAATACATTTAATAACCGTGCTAAATACAAAACAGTGCATGGATAAAACTAGTTATTTAAGTTAAATTATACCATCTACAGTGTATGTGACAAGCTTTATTCTAGCAATACTTGCTGATCAAAAAGGATTGCGATAGTATTTTATTCATCTATTGCGGGTGCATCCAAGGGAGAGTGAAGCATTCATGAGTGTGTGTCTATATAAATGTGCTGTACAAAATATTGAATACAAGCAGCAAAGCAAAAATCTAGACAGCCAATGAAAAAGCAGAACACACCCAGTGAGCGGGAAAGTGACGAGAGCAAAACAAAAGGACGGAGAACAAAATATAGTAAAAATAGGCCGAGTCTTGCACCGAGCCGTGAGTAAGCATGATCCAGTACATACATGAGCCAGAACCACAGGAGCGTTGCACAAACACAGAGCGGAACGGCTGAGAAATAAAGTTGAAAAGTGTGTGTGTGTGTGTGTGTGTGTGTGAGCGAGAGAGCGCTTTGTGTTATTTGAGTTCATTTGTGGGTTGATTTTTACTTCAGCTTTTGGAAGAGATGGGACTTGGTGTGGCAGTGATCTGTCTGGTTTTAAGTGGAGCTCTTTGTGTTAATGTGTAAGTCTGTGTGAAATATGTTGTGGCAAGCTCTCTGTACAAAGCACATCACCCAGTCATTCACCATGTACAGAATATCCAAACTCATTTGTCCAATTCTGCTTATTATACAAATGTACATTTGTGAACTGGATTGTTAGGAAAGGATGAATTTCCAGCTTAAATCTGAACTGATCCATCCTGGGCTTGTACTTCACAGCCAGTTAAATTCTTTACATGATTACAGCCTCACTGTCATAATGCCTGGGCATACACTGTACCGTGGTGATGCCAAACGGCACCAAGTGACACTTCAAATTAAGCAAGGAAGCATTTCGATGCGCCGTCCAGGAACACTGACGTCAAACGCCCAGAGACACTTGACAGCTGAATGCGAGCACCAACACGTGGGTGCAGTTGCTTTTGAGTCATTTTGTGCATGAATTCCTTAAAACACACATATGCATGCCCCAAAACATGAATAAAAAGATGAACCTGTGTGTGTTTGTGGGTGTGTAACACAACAAGAGTGGTGATATGTCAACTCTGGTTCATTGCTAAAATTCATATCTCATAACAAAAGAATGCCCCAAGGGAATTGATTAACCTATTGCTGAACACACCTCACAGTACATTCTTTATTAATCTACCGCAACTGCTCTGCTTTAATACCTCCCTCTAGCGTCTCTGCCTCCCACCTTTAATTTCTCTCTGCTGCTCTTCTTCAATTAATTTAGCATTAGCTTTCTCCACCTCAGTTAATCGGCATCTCTACATGCAAACTAACAGTTTGATTATACCCAGATTAAAGCAAACTCAAAGATTACTGCAAATGCCACATAAAAGAACATTTTAACAATATAATCCCTGATTTTGCAAGCTCATGGTGCAAGTTTTTAAATTTCACCACAGTTGATCTGCATCTGTGCAAGGACCATAATACTATAACTGGTATTAACATGTGTATCAGGTTACATTATCTGGATAATGACATCCAATCCATGGGCCTTTGCATTTACAACTGGTATTAAAATGCATTCTCGTTATCTCCATTCTGCCAGCATTGTGAGTGGATCTCAAACATGGTGCGTTCAAGGTCGAGGGAAGCAATGCCATGGAGGAGCATTGTTCATTTTTTGGGAAAGACGTGTTACCTATTGCTACTACTTGTAGCTTTTGGAGTCAGAACTGAACTTTTAACTTGCCGAGCATTTTTTTTCTCTTAAAAATGTGGCCACCGTGTGCATGTGACATAAATGTGCGTTTTTTTCCTTATCCAGATACATGTCGCATTTTAATTCAAGGTGTAAATGGCAACAGTAGTATACTTCCATGCTAATGACTCTGTGGGGCATAAAAGCTAACTTTAGCATGCTAAAATGCTCACAATGACAATGTTTTCATGGTCATTAGCCTGGATACCATGTCCACTATTTTAATTTTGTATGCCATTAGCCAGCCAGTTTAAATAAAAATAATGCTGCAAGTTTAATGACTTAGTGACTTTAGTTATTACACTTCATCATGAGGGGAACATGAATGTCAGCACAAAATCTCACACAATCCATCCAATGGTCGTTAAGACAGTTCACTCAAAACCACAATGGCAGTCAGAGGAAAAATCAGAAGATCATCAAAATCATCAGGGTTCATCACATGGGGACCATGAATGTCATGGCAATTCGTCCAATAATTCTTGAGCTATTTAAGCCTGAACCAAAGTGGTGGTCGAACAGATCAAACAACATTGCCATTGCTAAACCCAATACCATGAGCATGGCTCAAAACTGTTTGATATATTAAAAAAAAAAAAAAAATTAAGTCACCATAATTGTGATCATTTAGATGAAGAAATTATATGACCACTAACTGACTTCATCTTTAAATGTAATTATTTTGTGGCACTTTTTAAATCTCCTCCCAATCTTAACATGCGTTGATTATTAAACACAATCAACAAAATAAAGTTACAATCAGCCATGTAAGAGCTCTGATCAAAATATTATCTTAATCTTCAATCTTTTATCTTAATCTGGTGATTTTTCCATGAGCTAAATTGTAAATGTGTAGAATGAGACAACAATGCCCATTAACACACGGACAGGTGGCTAAGATAACCTTGAGGTCTTGTGCTGCAAACACACAAATACCCAATTACAGCTGTGAATGAATAGAGTAGAGAGAGACGCGTGTTCATCTGTTTGTCTCAGCAAGAGTGTGTGTGTGTGTGTGTGTGTGTGTGTGTGTGCGTGCGCACAAAGGTGATGAAAAGTAAATGGGTGAGGAAAAAAGACGGGCACCACAATGTGTGTAATGAAGGTGTGTGTGAGAAACAGAGGATGACAGAAACGCATGTGATGAGTAGGAGTGTCTAACCAAAACTCCCTTTGTTTTCAGGGGGAGTTGGTGTGTGGTTAGTGGTGATGTGGTGCTTCAGGCTCTCTATTGCTTAAAAAAAAGAAAAGAAAAAAAAAAGCTTGTTTCTAACCAGAAGACCTTCTGTTCAACAGACTACTCTGATTGTAAAAGCCCATTCTCTAGAGGATATTCACCATACAGAGACAGAGAGAGATTGTACATTTATTTGTAGGACAGAGTGTAAAGGAGTCCACACGTCTCCTTCAGGGTCTGGAAGCATTTATAAAGCACACTTCAAAGAGAAAAGAACTTAAAATGACACAGTATACTGTTGGTTGTCTGAAAACATCAAAAACAAACCCATAAAAAGGAACGATCTGCCATTTTGGGAAATACACTTACACACCATTCACACTGGAGTTAGACCATCTATAAAACACACAATTTTTCAAAATCCTTATTTCCCAGATTCCGCAAATGTCTCGTTTCAACCCAACTTCACTCGAGAACAAAAAGACACTCTGATTATTATAACACAGTAAAGAAAAAGAGCAAATCCTCCAAATTGAAACTAGGGAGTGTTTGGCATTTTTTCAAGAAAAATGACTTGAATAATTCATTGATTAATTGGCTCTTTTTTTAAATCACCTACATTACAGTTCATGACAAAGTCATAGCACACACTTTGTCACAGTCTCTCTTCTTTTTGTAAAAATTGATTTATCTGTCTTTTCAACCCTTGAGACAAACACACCTGACTTCAAAGACAGCAGGACTAGCAGCAGTGTAGCACCCCTCCATCAGTCAAAGGACAGCTGCTTACAGGGACTCTGGCAGCGATGATAAAACTGCATGTGATTGGAAACGTTTTCACTTATCTGCTGACAGCTATTACACCTCTCTGTAGGTTATGACAATCAAAGCAGTGACCATGTTTGGCTCTATAACAGCCTGCCATCCTCAACATGGAACTGAGTCTCGCTTCATTTTTTTCTGCTACCTGTCTGACACTGCGATGATGAAAAACATTTATCAGAAAATTGGATTTGCTCTGAAAACTGATGCTGCTACATAGCAACCAAAAAGTGCTGTGCACTGTCTAGTCGATGATGTGTGAAATTTTGATTTGCATAGTGTAGTACTTTTGGTAGCAACCTTATAACTACATCACTGATCAAATACTAAATTACAGTTTTCATTCAAAATTCTCCTCACCAGAAAAAGACAAGGCTCCCCTACTCCATTCTCATGAAGATGAAAAACTATTTTGTATCAATTTGATATCTAGTCCAAACAGACATAAAAAAAAACATTGTATAAATTGCCTGAAGATATTGCATGATGCTGTATGAAGTACATCACACCTAGGGTTGCAACTAGCAAGTATTTTCATTATAGATTAATCTGCCATCTATTTTCTTGATCAATTTACTTAAGAGTTTTGTCTTTAAAATGTCAAAAAAATTGTGAAAAATCCAAATAATGATTTATTCCTTGTTTTAAACATCAAATAGTCCTACATCTAAAGATATCAAGTTTACCTTCATAAATACCAAAAACAAGCATCAAATCCTCACGTTTGAGACGATGCAGCCAGAAAATATGGCTTTTCTTGTTTGGTAGATGTCTGAAATGATTAAATTATTAACAAAATAATCAGTTGCTGGTTATTTTTCTGGCAATCAACAAATCATTTCAGCCATTACTGCTACCCCAAATACTGTCAGTATTTGTATTGGGAGGTCACTCTCCGTTTCACACATGAACACACAGAGCAGGGATTCATTCACCACTGACTGACATTATTAAGGAGACCTTACTGCTCTCTGGCTTAACCT